ACACTTCACCAACATTTCAATGGCATTGATTCTTCTGTCATTCTTACTCATTGTCCAACTTGCAGATGCAAAGAAAGCAATTGAAAATACTTGGATCAGGCCTACCTCAGTCTTTAAACTGACAGCGTAGCTCTTTTGCACTTTGGAGAAGTCCTTGACAGCAAATTTCCCCAATGGAACACATCTTTTAATTTCTTGACTGCAGATACCATGGTGGTGAATTTGTGGATCCAAGTAAAATGAAATCACAGACACCTTCATTCTTTTCATGATATTGTCTATTGGTTCAGTGATAAGAATTTTCATTTTCATTTTCTTGAGATTGAGCATAGTGAAGGATGGAAGTTATTTCTTTATCCATAGAGTACTTCTGTTTTTTTGCTGAAATCTCTGTCCACCAGGAATCCTTTAAAGATAGTCAGAGATTTAAATGCAGTGGTAATATGTCTGAAGGTCTGCTTCCAGATCCTGAGATGCAGTTAGGGAAAGCTCCAGCCATCTGGAGAGAGGATGTCCTCCTGTGCAGGCTCTATTCACGTATGAAATTCTCAAACACAAATTTCACAGAAGAATCCTTTCAGGTACAAAAACCTTCTGATTTACATTCATTCATTTGTAACACTAGTAAATCTGAGTTCCATGTTGCTCACTCACAAAGCAGCATTCCTTTTTAAAGAAACCTCATCTCGTGCTTCTCCTAAGCAATCTATTGTGAGCACCAATATCCTCCCTGAAAAAAAAGACAAAGAAATAGGAAAGTGTCTAACCCCACAGGATCAAGCGTGTCGGAAACATAAAGCATTTGTAAACCAGCAAAGAAATATTTTAAGTGAGTGCAATACTCAGATGCACCACACATTTAGGAAAATCCATATGGCAAAAGACAGAAGGGGCCAACATTAGAGCCAGGCAGAGAAGTAGAGAGGAGGGAGTGGGTTCCCAAAGTCAGTAGGCTGTAGAAACAACCAACACAACTTTGAAACTGGCTGGATTTCAGGCGGGAAACAAGCAGCGAATGGAGTTTCAGTTTCTAACTTCAGCAACTGGCAGCTGTGTGGATGGTGCTTCCACTTTTGAAAAGGGGGGGGGCGGAAAGCTGATCATCAAAAATACTTTTCAAAGAAATTGTTGCTTATAGTTATTATACATGCAATGGCTTTAAAAAAATGATACCATAAAGTTTTAAAAACAAAACTAATCAAAACAACAGTCTACATTTTAGTGCGGTAACCAACCTGTTTCAATCTATGTTTAATTTTTTTAAATGATAAAAATAAGCAGTCATGTAGATTATCATGTAGATGTATCAGTATCTCAGAAGTAAGGTCCAAATAGTATATAAACAAAGTGAAGACTTTAGTCTCTTTCACAACAGAACTACGAACTTGGGATAGTCCAGCTAAGTGCTCCCCAGTACTCCAACAACCAGTTTTTGACAACATTTTACCTTTCCAGCATGATGTCATTATACAACTGGCCCCTCCTGATAGCATGATCAAAGATAGATTTGTTTGTTCTTTTGGCAGTCTATGGTATATTCAATCCTCTTTTCCAATACCACAACTCAAAGATACCGATTCTTCCGCAGTCATCCTTACTCACTGTCAATTCTCAGATACACAGGAGGCAATTGAAAGTACTATGGCTTGGGTCAAGTGTGCACCTTAATCTTTAAACTGATATCCTTGCTCATAAGCACTTTAAAGAAGTCCTTTAAATACACCATAAGACCATTATTGTAAAAATGGAAGGATAATTGGTAAGATAAGTTTAAATGTCCAAAAGGGGAAAAGGAAAGGGAGAAGAGGGTGGAAAAAAGGAAAAGGTGAACGTCACTAGGACAGCAGAGTACAGTGGGCGGAAGGGGGCGAGGGTAGGGAAGGGACAGGTAAGAGTCAGTGGGGACTCAAAAAGACAGGTTAACATAAGCAGAGATCAACAGTAATTTATAAAATACAATGTATACTAATGATTGTTATGAAACAATGTAAATAAAAGATTATACAAATACAATGTGCAGAAATGAAACACAATGTGTAAGATTTTATACAAACCATTAAAAAATCTTTCATGTTCACTAAAAAAAAAAAAAGCTGAGCTAATTGAAGATTTGAGAGTCAGAGACTTGGTTCAATTCAGAATGTATTTCATTACAGGTGCTTATAAGGCATCTAAGCAAAGATGAGGATGGTACAATTAGGTGGTCAGCTTTGCTCCAACCCCTTCCCCACTAAGAGCTCCCTTTTCTCTTCTCCTTTTCCAGCAGTACCAGGTCGATTGATTGACATGGTGACTGCTGCAATGGGCTCTTGTGTATCAGGAAGTGTGAGGATGACACAGGATAGAACAAGGTTCAGATCTTTTGTTCATAGGGTTGTTATGAGTCGAACTTGACTCAACGGCACCTAACAAAAGCACGAGTCCAAACCCTTCTCTGTTTTGAACATCTGAGAAGCCCACACAGAAACCCTCAGACAACCTCACATCTCCTTCCCCTAGAGCTCCAGAACTTCAGATCTCAGAATTAACAAGATCCTAGATAGGATAAGGCGCCCCCACCTCCTTCCAAGCATCCTTTCCCACAGCTCTCCTCTCCTCCCTGACAAGGATGCTGTCAGCCAGGCACACATCTCTATATATTGTTGGGTGGTCTTTTACCATCCCAGCCTCAGTCTTAGGCTGAATAATATGTCCTCCTAGAGCTCCTTGAAAATTGGTCAAGTCTAGAACTGAATAGACTTTCCAGTTTCCTTGAGCCTTACGCTTCAAGATGGCAGAACACTCACATGTGGACCTCCTGGCTCATTCACCCTGTGAGTGCACTCCCAACTCTATCCTTCTGGGAGGAAATCCATGTTCAAAGTTTTTGTGTTTAGTCAGTTGCCTGCTAAACTTTTAAGATACACTTCACTTTCCTTTCAGTTTGCCATGGTAAATTCAGAGAGACCCAAGTGAAAGACATGGTGGAGAAGTGGAGACCTTCAGAAGAGGTCTTTCTAAACTTGGCTTCTGTGAAGAGAAGGGTCCCCTATTGCAACATTTCTCTCACATTCCACTTTTTCTCCAAAGCACTTTCTTCTCCAGGACTCTCCGCCATCTTGCCCCCAATGGGTGGAGCCTCCTCTCCCTCCCAAACACTGTACCAAGTAGGACCTCATCTCCCTGGCAAACGTAAATCCCTGCACCTAAATTTGCCGCGGTCCTCGCTTGCAGGTCACCCTCCCTCCACCCCAGACCCAAGTGTCCAGCAAGATAGCTGCCCAGGATAAGGACAGGTACTGCTTGGTTGTATGAATGGGTTGGTTTGGGCTTATCTCTTCTTCCTTATCTAGTTCTGTGGATGACCAATCTCTCCACACAGGCTTCCATCTCTGTCCTACCAGTGTTCTCGGTTCACACCAGATCCACAGCCCTCTGCCATCTGCCTCTCCTGTTCAAATCCTGCCCTGCTAACCCAGCTCATCTCACAATTCCAGGCAGTACTGGAGAGGGAGGGGGAGGGGAGCATAACATGTATTAGTTCATCTCATCGTCACAAACGACATTACAAGGTTATTCAGTGCTGTCAAACTGGCTCCAACGCCCGGTGACCCTCCGCACAACAGAGCAAAACCTTGCCCTGTGCTGTGCCATCCTCACCGTCTGCTGCTGAAGCCCATTCATTGCTGCCAGGACTGTGTCAGTCCATCTCCTAAAAGATCCGTCTCTCCTCTTTCACTGACCCTCCATTTGTCCACGCAATGATGTCCTTCTCCAGAGAAGGGAGGTGTCCAGTGAAAGCACCTTGTTTGGTACACGACGAATGGTGGCGCAAGGAGATGCAACAGTTAATACAGGGAACCCTGGATGTGGATACCACGGGCTGGCCCCGTCCTCTTAGCCATGCCATCAAGTCATCCTTCTGCACCTCTTCTAACCTCTTCCCTAAAAAAGTACTCTCTGCACAAATACTTGAAATAGTAATAATGCTTGTATTTCTCAAAAGTTAAAAAGGGAATGCTCAATACATATATTTTTTTTAAAGCACCGTCTTGATGCAGCAGTAGGAAGTTTTACTGCAACATCTGACGTGGAGGGAAGTAGCAGCGCAGAAGGGAAGCGGTAGATGAATGGGTCACAGGCAGAGTTCAAGGGCTGCAGGCGTACAATTTCTTGTTCGTGTGTCCATCAGACCTAGTCTCAGCCCAGCACAGGCACAGCGTATGGGACGCTTCCCTGGCCAGTAGCCTGAGAGAGGAGGTGCAGCAAGTCCAGCCAGGCAGCCGCCTGAAACCGCCTGCATTGCACTGTCCAGTCCGCAGTCCGCAGATCCCGGGCTCTTGCTGCTCTCTGGCGGCCGGAACCGGGAGGCACTCGACCCGAGAGTCGTGCCTTCGCTCCGCGCACCCAAGGGCACCAGCGAGTGACCAAGAGGCCAGCCGGAGAGTGGGTGGAAGGAAGAGGGCGCAGTGGAGGGAAGAAGGGAGGGGTCAGAGAGAGGCGCGGGAGGGAGTGCCGAAGGGGTGCAAAGGGAGGAGGGTTGTGGGGCTCAGCGGTTAGGCGGGGGCGGCACTGCAGGGCCCGAGCGCGCGCCAGCCTCGCTGCTCCTTCAGACCCCGGCACGCCGGCTCGCGCAGCGTGCACAGCCCCTTCTCCCCGGAGTGCAGGACCCTTTCCCTCGGCGCGGGCCGCCCCCTCCTCCCTGTGGGCGCTGCCCCTCCCCCGTCGCGCCCCCCGCGCCGAGTTGGGAGCCGCAGTGACCGCTGCCCGCCCGCACCTCCCGCTCCGGAGCCGCTGCTCTGCCCGCTCGCCTGGGCGCGCTCCGAGAGGGGCGCGCGTCGCCCACCCGGCTCCGCGGTACGATCCCGCGGCCAGCCCTGGGGAACCCGGTCGCCGTCCTGGCCGGCTCCGCACCGCTGGGGGCAACCGCGCCCCGCGTCCCAGCAACTTTGGCCGGACCACACCGGGAGCGGCGCGCGGGAACGGAGCCGGAGCTTCGCGGCTATGCCTGCTGCCTCTCTGCCCGCCAGCCGCACGGCCCGGCCCCCGACGGCCGCGCGCTGAGATGACTTTCCGTGACATTCTGAGCGTCAGTTTCGAAGGATCCCGCTCGGACAGCGGCTCCGGGGGGACCGGCTCGAGCCCCAGTGCGGGCGGCGCAGGCGGCGCGGTCGCTTCGGAGGGCCCGGCGGTGGGCAGCGTGCCAGGTGCCACGGGCGGCGGCGGCGGCGTGGTGGGCACGGGCAGCGGCGAGGAAAACGGCAGCTCGGCCGGGGAGCCGGGGGGCTCAGGCGCGGGCGGCGAGGTGAACTGCACGGCGGCGGCCGTCGGGGGCCTGGTGGTGAGCGCGCAGGGCTTAGGAGTGGGTGTCTTCCTGGCTGCCTTCATCCTGACCGCCGTAGCGGGCAACCTGCTGGTCATCCTCTCCGTGGCCTGCAACCGCCACCTGCAGACTGTCACTAACTACTTCATCGTCAACCTGGCCGTGGCCGACCTGCTGCTGAGCGCCACAGTGCTGCCCTTCTCTGCCACCATGGAGGTCCTAGGCTTCTGGGCCTTTGGCCGCGCCTTCTGCGACGTGTGGGCCGCTGTGGACGTGCTGTGCTGCACCGCCTCCATCCTCAGCCTCTGCACCATCTCCGTGGACCGGTACGTGGGCGTGCGCCACTCACTCAAGTACCCGGCCATCATGACCGAGCGCAAGGCCGCTGCCATCCTGGCGCTGCTGTGGGTGGTGGCCCTCGTGGTGTCCGTGGGGCCCCTGCTAGGCTGGAAGGAGCCGGTGCCCCCGGACGAGCGCTTCTGCGGCATCACCGAGGAGGCAGGCTACGCCGTCTTCTCCTCGGTGTGCTCCTTCTACCTGCCCATGGCCGTCATCGTGGTTATGTATTGCCGCGTCTATGTGGTGGCGCGCAGCACCACCCGCAGCCTCGAGGCGGGCGTCAAGCGCGAGCGGGGCAAGGCCTCCGAGGTGGTGCTGCGCATCCACTGTCGCGGCGCAGGCACCAGCACCGCCGACGGAGCGCACGGGACCCAGGTAGCGCGCAGCGCCAAGGGCCACAACTTCCGCAGCTCCTTGTCTGTGCGTCTGCTCAAGTTCTCCCGCGAGAAGAAAGCAGCCAAGACCTTGGCCATCGTCGTGGGCGTCTTCGTGCTCTGCTGGTTCCCCTTCTTCTTCGTTTTGCCACTTGGTGAGTGACCCCCTGCCCATCGACCCCTTCTTTCCCCTCCCCCTGCCCTTGGCTCTGTTTTCCTCGCCCCTCCCCCGCCTTGAATGACCTTTAACTCTGCACTCTTAAAAAGGAGTGTTGGTTTCATAACTTCTCTGTTCTCTGGAAAAGCAGACATTGGCGTTCCACTATGTAGGGCAGAGGGAGAGGCGCTTCCTGCTTTTAAGTTTTGTTCACAGCCTCTTACCTTTCCAAACCTCCCTTCCCAGGCATGTTTTACCCTCTTGACCCCTGAAAGTATCATAGGTCCGTGGACACCTGTAGATTCCACCGGTGCATGTGGTTAGTGTTAAGTGCGCACCTGTACACACTCATACCCCCTGTTCTGCCCACATACAAATGCCAGGTGGGGCCCAAAGTGGGTGAGCCTCCTGTGAACATACTCACCAAGCCCTGGTGAACCCACGTGTGCAGATCGTCTCCCTTCATCCTCATCTGCTTTGCCCCAGCACTCATTCTACATTTCCCTTTGGAAACTGACCCATTCCTACCCCCTTCCCAGCTGAGGTTTGTGAATACCCTTGGATCTCAATTCTGAAAACTGTGGAGATGGGAGCCAGGTGGAGATGAGAAGGGGGAAAGTAAGGGCAGTTTATCAAACTGAAAATTAATCTTGCTAATAGGGGTTTCTTGCCTTGGCTGGGACATGACTCAGTGCTCCTGGAGAACTTGCCTATTTCTCCCACAAGCCTCTCTGCAGCCCTGGGAGCCAGGTAGTTTTTTCCAGCACCTTCTACCCACTTCATGGGGCCCGCTTGAGAGTCTCAAGGCTGGTCCAGCAGAGTGAGAAAAAAAGGAAGGCAGCATCTCTGGGGACACACTTGCATCCCTGGGGTGCCCTGAGTCACTCTTCGCTCAGGGCTGCAAGCTGGGCTCACCCAAGCAGAGGCCACCCCTGCACCATCCACAGTCCACACTGTGTGAAGGGATGAGTCAGGGAGGAGACAATGGCCTGCATCGGGCTCCCCAGCAGACCTTTTCCACACAGAGTGGCCTTTATACATTATGAATTAGCTGGTGTCACTCCCTCACTGAAACCTCTCAATGCCTCCCCACTGCCCTGGGAACAAAACCAGAACTCTCTATCATATGAAAGAATGACCTTTAAGTTTATTGTCCAAACCAAATAGGGCACCAGGAGTCTTTGTACTGGGACCATAGGCCTGAACTAGGACTGAGGACACACCTGGACAGGTGGTCAGAAGGCCCTATAGTGGCTGCCTCCTGTCTGCCCTCAAGGCAATGCCCATGCCCACCCACCCCTTCATGGAGCTTTATTCTTCCCCACCAACCCAGCTCACACAGGTCTCTGGGACTTTGCATTTGCTGTGCCCCCTGTCTGGACTGTCCTCCCCTAATCTCCTGGCTGTGTCTCCATCTTCGCTTAAATGTCCCGTCCTAGGAGAAGCCTTCCCAGATCCCTCAGTCTCAGTGTGCCTCCTCTTACACCCCTGAGGCACACTGTACTTTCTTTCCCTGGATCAGTAGCTCTAATCACATCTGTGTTGAAATGAATTTACAGCCCTGTGTGTTGATCGGTATTGTTGTTGTGTACCATTGAGTCGAGACTGACTCATAGCTGACCCTCCAGCAGGTTTTCAGAGACAATTAGTCACATGGGAGGAGATTGTCAGTTTTCCCCCCACCCCAAAGCAGCTGGTAGATTCTAACCTTGTGCCTTTGGGTTGACAGCACAATTCCTTACCACTAGGCCAGCACAGCTTGGTAGCACATAACAGCAGGCCACCAGAGCTCCCTGAGTTCCCTGTTGATTGGTGTCGTGTCAGACTCAGCCCATCAGCCCAAAGTTCTGTAAGGGTGGAGCTATGTCAGCACAGAATCCCTGATTCCTCTGTGCCCATCACTAGGTCCCTGCACTTAACAGTGAGCATCACAATCTGTGGCACCAGACAGACAGCCTAGGTTGAAATCCCGCCTCTGCCCCTTACTAGCTGTGTGACTCTAGGCAAGTCATTTAACCTCTCTGTGCCTTCATTTTCTCATCATCAATCTAGGGATGGTCGTAATGATGATATCTACCAATAAATAGGGCAGTTGTGTGATTTTGCTGATTTGTCATTGCTGTTATTAGTGGCCATCAAGTTGGCTCCCAATTCATGGTGACCCCGTGCACAACAAAGATGACGACGTCCACTTCTGCCTGGCACCATCCTCTCTATAAGTTGTGGATTTCCCTGTGATTGCAGTGATTTTTCTTCAGTGGCTGGTTTTCAGAAATAGATTCTGAGTCTTTTTTTTCCTCTTTCATCTTAGTCTGGAAGCTTTGCTGAACTTAGAGCAAAGTCCCCTGCGACAGAAGGGTGAGTGGTATCTGTGCCTGAGGTTCATTGGCCAGGAATCCAACCCATGTCTCCTGAGTGGAAAGAGAACATCTTACCACTAAGAGAAGTATTGGGAAGAGTACAGCCAGAGTATTTCTTGGAGGCAAGGAGGGCGAAGCTTCACCTCTCATACTTTAGCCATGTTGATGGGATAGGCTATTCTTTGGAGAGGGACATCATGCTTGGGGAGGTAGAGGGAGAGCAAAGGAGAGGAAGAACCCCCCACTCCCCTCCCCCACAATGAAATGGATTAACGCAGTGACTGCAGTCATGGGCTCAAGTGTGTGAGAGATGACGAGGATGGCACAGGATAGGACAGGGTTCAGATCTGTTGTTCAGAGGATCGCTAGGAGTCATACTTGACTCGACAGCACGTAACAACTACCAATGTGCCCGTGAAGTGGGTTACAGTGTAGGAATGTAACTGTGGCCCATGGTGAGCACAGAGTCATCTATTGCTTTTGTAGTAGAGGCTCAGTATGGACAAGGAATGACAGATCACCACGTGGAAATGATCCCTGACTCAGAGCTGGTACGGAGCAGGAACAGACTTGAAGCCACACATCTGAGGGGCAAATAGGCATGAAGGAGAAAGTTTATTTTCTCCCTCTTCAACAACCCACCCCAACTAGGATTTAGAATACTCCTAGTCCAACTTCCTGTCCTCACTCCCTGCTCCGGCCCTGCCTAGCTGTGGGATCCCTCCTTCTTCCCCTTGACTCCAGTCCCCTATGGGACAGAAAGCCACCGTACTTGTTTCTCTTAACATCCTAGTAACCAAACAGTGTACAGATAAACCAGTCCAAACTCAGTCCAATCCCTAGCTGCCAAGTTGATTCCTATTCGTAATAACTCTATCAGGCAGAGATCTGCGTTGGAAATCCAAGGCTATAAATCCATACAGAAGCAGACAGTTGCATCTTTGAACTGCTGTCCTTTGGGTTAGCAGCCAATGTACCACCAGGTCTCCATAATGCTCAGATGCTAATATTCTAAGCACCCAGGTCCCCCCCCTTTTTTTTTTGCACAGACATTCACATTTTGCCAAATATGCTTCAGACTGCTTTCTCTCCTTTCAGAGCTGAAGCAAAGCCAAAGGTCAGTTCCCTCCATGTCCTTTCCCCTCTGTCTCCCTTTCTCCCCAGTATCACCTCTGTCTCTCACTCTCAAACGTGTGCTTACGCTGTTGTCACATGTGCCTGCATTTACAGTCAAGGGTAGTAACGTTCTGTGCGTCCGTAAGATTTCTACAAAGTCTTCAGTTTGCCTTCCCCCGCTCCTTCTATGTTTGACATTGATCCTTGGTGGTTCATTTTACTAGTGTTATAGTATTCCATGTTGTTGTTAAGCTCTGGTAACCTAGTGGCAAGAAGCTGTACTGCAATCCTGAAGGCGCACAGTGTGAGGCCACCAGCTGCTCCACGGGAGAATGGGCAGTCTCCCCCCATGGGATTGTCTGTGAAAACCTACCAGCTGTGGGTCAGTTGCAACTCTACAGTACACGCCCCCCACCACAACATAGTAGGCCCCTTCCACAATGTGTTGATCCAGTCTCTGGAAGAGTGAAGTGTTTTCTGTGACAATAAGCACTTGTATAAAGCTCTCTTTTTGAGGCCCTTCTCTTCCTTGATGCCATTCCTGAGCTCCAAGCTCTGCCCTTGGCTGGTGCACCCTGCTTTCTCACTTTCTCCATCTCTGAGGCTGTTGGCACGGGAACTCCAGTGTGGTGTCCTTGTTTCCTCCTTCCTTCTGGTCTGTGCCATGCCAGGCCTCCTGAGCACCTCGTCAGAGCCCAGAGCACTGTCGGAGGCCGATGGTGTGGAATCTGATGACAGCGAATGAGTAGAACAGAGGCCAAGCAGGGAAACAGATATTCCGCTCTGTGGCATTACGACTAGGAGAGCAGGAGCGGTGCAGGCCTGCTGTGGGGCCAGGGTGACCTGACGGCCATGGGAGGGCGCTTACAGCACTGAAACCCAGGACTGTGAGGATGAGGCAGGGGCTGTCCTTGAAGGAACAGAGAGCATTTTGAGCAGCAAATCTGGGGGGAATGTGAAATCCAAAGGAACAACAGATCTCTAGATGCCAGGCGGGTGGTGAGGGTGTCAGGAACTTGTGATGAGGCAAAAGATGGAGTGGGGGACTCAGGGGCAGGGCGTGCAGTCTCCCAGAAAGAGAGTGAAGGGAGAAGAGGTGAGAGACATGGAGGGATCCCTGGGGAAAGGGGGTACCCACTTTGAAGGCATTAGAAAGAGGCAGAGGAGACAGCTTAGAGCTACTCATGTGGCATCTTCTTCCTCCTGGGCCTTGATTATCACCAAGAACTCCAGAGATAGGGAGGGACTGCATGTCCATAAGGGCAAAAGCCATGGGGATGAAGAATCCAGTGGCACCCCATCCCAGGTTGTCTGGGCCACCCCTTCAGGATGTGTATGCATGGGAAGAGGTTCAAGAGATGGGGCATGTACCATCAAAGGGAAGAATGGATAAACAAAGTGTGGTCTGTCCATGATCTGGAATACTATACAGCAAGAAAAAGTGACTACACACACACACACACACACACACACACAGAGTGGATGAATAGCATAGACATTGTGTTGAGAAAAAGAAGCCAGA